ATCAATCAAAGTTGATTGTTTTGTTACCATTACAATTGCCTTTGAAAATTATTATGGTTTAAATTATAGGCCTCTAATTTTGCGGAGCCGATAAGGATGTCGAAAACGTAAAATTCATTGAAGAAAGGTATGAACAGTTAAGACAATGAGGAACAAAGGCAAGGTTTAAAATAACAAACGTCGGATTTATTTTGTCGATCTGGACAAATTTATGTTCAAAAATATTTTTGTAGTTCGATATTTGACAAAAGGGAGTCCCAATCGAAGGATTTTTTTGGGTTCAAGGCGGCAGTATTAGGCATTAATAAGATGGAACAAAATATTATTGGTGGTAATATTCGATTTTTGGATGTTTCATTGGAAAAATAATTTTCGTCCGCGTTTTTAAGAGAGGATTAAAACCAGTTTTACACTTTCATAGTGTTTTAGAATGGCCGTTGGCATTAACACTTGGTAGTCCTTAGAAGGACTATCGCATGGAACACCAGCGGTTAAGAGATGGTTAGTCCTTAGAAGGACCATCGCATATCACCTTGCTTGTTGGAGTCCTAAAAGGATTTTATCGGATATCATGATGGCTTAGATAAAAGCCAATAACCAGTTTCTTTGTGCAGAATTTATTAATATTGTCTTGAAAATAAAAGGAATTGCAGGTTGCGTGACTTTAGAGAAACAAACAAATAAATAAACGAAATTTTAAAGAGATTAAGAACAAGACATATTCAATTTAGAAACTCTTAAAAACATTTATATTAATTCAAAAACAATATACAAAGGATAATTGGTATATGTTATGTTGTCAAAGTAGATGATGTTTAGGTTTCAGTTTGAGTTAAGAATTTTGTTCATTTACAGTCTTTTTAGATTTGTGTTGATATTAAAATGGTTTAATATTAAATGTCTTTTTTGGTAGGAGTTCTTAAGAAGTGATTCAGGAAAAAAAAAATATTTTTAAGGTCGTTTCTCGTTGATGTTTTTCGTGATTCGATGTCCACAGACAAGAGAAGTTTAATTTGCAATTTTGAGGGGTTGATGTACCTTTACGCGGTAAATCGTGATTTATTTGACGTGAAGAATTTAATTTCTCTGTGGGTGTTCGTCTTGACTGGATATTTTCGGCGTTTTCATGAATAAGTTCTGAAAGTCCGAAATAAAAACAGGACCTTTTTTTTCTTAACACCTTAACGTTTTAATGTTTATACTTTCAGATTAGAATTGTGTCGTTAACCAATGAATCAATTAAAAGTGAATTTATTTTTTTTTTGTTCTTTTCCGACAACCAAAATTATTTATTTATTGGTATATTAACAACTTGGAGGAATGATAAAACTTATAAAGATTTATTGATTTTGAATGGAGATACACGGATAGACTGCTTATTTCTAGTATCTAAGTGAGGGAGAGATTTTCTTTCAAGGGAGACAATCATCATCAAGTGAGTTAACTGCTGTTGGTCTATTCCACAATTCGATTGTTTATTTACACTATTTATTATATTGTTTATTGGAATGGTTGATAAAACATACGTCGTTTCTACTTCGGGCCAATTGATTCCAAGTTTTTAGTGGAAAATGGTAAATGTGTCTTTCTTTATAGATGGTTAAAATATTTTAATAATTTAGTAAATGTTTATAAATAAAATGGTTTAAATTTATTTTTTTATTAGTTTGGAAAATGAATAAATATTGTATGTTTATGTTTATTTTTAAGAATCTTATAAATATAAAATTATCTGAAAAAAATAAAAAATCTAATTAATTTGTTTCATGTTTTTCATTGTAAATTTTCAAGAACGAAAAAAAATTAGCCGGCAGTAACTTTCATCATATGTCTAGGTTGAACTTTTGATAATTAAGGTTTAAAATGAATTTTTAAAAAACAATAACCATTACTTGAATGAGTTAATTTCAAGAAATTGTATAGATTTGAATTTCCATCTTTTTGTCGACATTTATCCATCTTTACTGCGACCATTTTTTTTCAATAAGACAGGATTTTAAAAAAGTAAACAAAACAAATTTACAGTTTCTTGCTTTTTTAAAATAATTCTTTATATTTTTAGTTGAAATGTTCTTTTGTAGTAAAATTCAGCAAATTTAAATTTAAATATTTAAAAAAATTAACAACTTTTAACTTCAAAAAGGTTTATTCAAACAATTTTTTTATTCAGATTTTTTTGGAAATTTTTTTTCTTTCAGAAAATAAAATCTTCTGCAACAGTATTTTCCCTGTTGCCTGAATAATTAACGAAAAAGAAAAAAAAAAATGCAAATCAGATTCAATTACAAAGAAAAAATATTTATTTCTAACCAGCTAAATAAGGGTTCTTGCAAAAATTTCGTCCATTTTTGCTGAGAATAAGATAACCTATTCTCTGAGTAACACAATGTAAAAAACATAGTAGAAAACAAACTTAAAAAATTACAAAAATTAAAAAAAAAAAAAAAAGAATAGCGCTCACCTGCTGTGTCAATGATAATAATAAAAAAAGGGGAAGAGCCTTAGCTCTTCAGTAAACTTTCAGTCCTTTCAAGGTTCAAAAGTTTTTTTATCTTTTTTCTTTTCTTTCTTGTGTAGACAAAGTTCTCTTCCTGGTGACCAAACTCCCTTCTTTCTTCACTTATTCTCCTCCCGTGCTTACGGTCAAATCACGCTGAAACACCGGTTCTCGTACGATCACCGAAGTTAAGCAGCGTAGAGCCAGGTCAGTACTTAGATGGGGGACCGCTTGGGAACACCTGGTACTGTAAGCCCCAAAGTCCAACCCTTACCTCACAGTCGGTGGGGGGTGTAAACGGTAGTGTCAGAGCTATGCTGCCCGCAACTTCGTTCCTGGTAGGGCCACCCAAGGCGGACAGGTCTGACACACGCCGGCTAACAAGGGCTCTGGTGAAAATCCAAGGAGCGTCTGCATTGGTAACTGGCGGCTTCTGGTCGTTCCTGTCTCTGCGTCTGTGGGAACCCCACGGCAAGCAAGAACGTTATTCAAGTAGGCCTGGGTACCCTACTTCTGTAATTTATCCCAAGAATCTTCTTCTCATAACAGGAAGAAGCCGGCTCAATCCGCCCAGGGTGAATGCCGCATCAGTACAGTACAGTACAGTAGTACAGTATTCTCCTCCCGTCCAATGGCAAATTATGCTTTTTCTTTATAGTAATTGCTAGAAGGTGAAAATTTACTGTTTAAACACGGGTACGTCTTTTTTGAAAATGCACGTGTGTTTTACGTTCTTTTCCAAACGATTGCTTTTATATCCAAACTCCACTTATGGACTTATTTTTTCAAACTTTCTTTTCTGGGGCTTCTTCAAGAGGACTTCTCAAAACTTTCTCTGAAGAGGAAACTTACCCTCATCAACATTGTTACCCATGCATCCTTCACTTATGGGCAAAATATGTCTCTTAAAATTTTCAGCATGGAGAGAGAAAAACGAACCTCTTCTCTAAGCGGTCTTATTTCCAACTGCTGTTAAGGTGCGGTGCCAGTCCTCCCTTGCCTTTCAAAGGGGGGGCGGTTCACCTTTGAACCGTCCAATCACAGTCCATTAAAAAAATATCAGCAGGTTCTTAGGGCCAGTAACACAGTGTCTTTCTTTTGTTTCTCCCTTGACCTAAAAATGTTCAAAATTTTTACTCAGCAATCTCTCTCAAACGAACGAGAATCAGCAAACTGGAGGAAAAAAATATTATCAGTATTTCTTGATATTAGATTTTCTTTCCTTTGTTAAGCTGGCTGCTAACAAAGGCAGGATAGCCCTATCTGTCCCACTATTTAACCCATAGCTGGAGAGAAATGGATTTATGGTTTGGTTTGTTTTATAGCATATCAACCTCAGTGGGTTATTTAATGCTGACAAGATTTTGAGGACAGAATCGTATGAATAGAATATGTATTCATTGTTAGTTATCTATTTGCAAATCAGATTTCATTGACATATTTTTGCAAAAAGGGTTTTTGTTGAGAGTCTGGTTTTATTCTTTTCAGATATACAGTTTGTAGAGAAACTGATTTTATTGATGTTCAGAAATATGGAACGCTTCATGAATTTGCATGTCAACTTTGCGCAGGAACCATTCTAATATTTTCTGTAGCATTCCAAGTATAGCATATGGACAAATGCTTGAAATTTGAAGGATTTATGCTTTTTCCAAGGGCATTAATGCAAAGTGAATGAGACTGAGTCAGTTAGAATTTGAACTCTGCATGCTGATTTTACTTTCTGTGTTGATAGTGATTTTATAAGCTTGGCTTAAATGTGGCACAAGGCCAAAAGCATGGGACACCTAGTGAGGATCAAACTCACTACTCAGTCATAATTGTTCTAGCAAGACAAGCTTGCTAACCATTGCACCATGTCAAGGTGCCCACTTTCTGTGTTGATAGCCATTATCCAACTCACATATTTAAATATCTTTTTTGTTTTTATTCAACATTTTTTTTCTCAAATATGAATCAGCCAATTGAAGGAAAGCTTTACTTCAGTATTTCCTCATGGTTTTTCACTGTGTCAGACTGGCTACTACCCAATCCAAAACCTTGCTATTTAACCCATATCTGGAGGGAGATGAATTTATGCCTTTTTCAAGAGCATTAGTGGGAAGTGAAAGAGACATGCAGAATTTGAACTCTGCATGCTGATTTTACTGATATCCAACTTGCACATTTAAATACTTGTATACAGAGACTTCTTTTTGTTTATATTCAACATTTTTTCTCGATTAAGAATAATCAGCCAGTTGAATGAAAAGTCTTTTTCATTATATCTTCATGGTTGCTCCCTGTAGTCTAATCTCATAAAAGGCAATACAAAGCTTTAAAGAAACATCTACAGCAGCACAATATCAACTGCAGACATCAAGTAATTCCCTTGATAAAAACAATGAAGAAATATGATATAAAATCAAACTGTTTTTTTTTTATATTATTTGAAGATCTCTTTTCTATAAGTGAAGGCAAATTTATAGGAATAAAAAAAGAAAGTTTCATATTTTATACTTACCATCGGTCTCTTGTCTAAGATCTGGGGCTCCAATATCTGGAGCAGGGTGGTAGTGGACAGTTTCTGAAAAAAAAATTAAAAATCACTGAATATTTGACTATTATAATATATCATTATGATAAAATTGTTACAATATGTTAGGGTGTCTTTAGATATCTGAAAAAAAAAAAAAAATGAATGTAGTAATCAAAACAATAAAGACAAGGATACTAGTTTACATAAATTGTGGAATATTGAAATTATTGGGTTGACCAAAAAATTTGTTTGCTTTTTAGATAGAAATTTTATTTAATAAACCGAATAAAATTTTGGCAAGCCCAATACTTCATTTTGGTAACTACAGACAATATTTGCGAAGTCAGAGGGCATGTTGAAGTATTATTGTAATCAAAACAATAAAGATGAAGATACTAGTCAAAAATAATTTATGGTATATTAAAAATGTGTCATTTTGAAACTTCAGACAACATTGGATTGTCCAGAGAGCATAAGCTGAGATGAGGATATCTGGAAAATGTATATGTATGTCAACAGCAGGCAAGAAGACTTTCATAAAGATGCTTATCTTGAAAATGTATATGTATGTCAACAGCAGCTAATGTATGTTTTTTAAAAACACATATCTTGAAAATGTATATGTATGTCAACAGCAGGCAAGAAGACTTTCATAAAGATGCTTATCTTGAAAATGTATATGTATGTCAACAGCAGCTAATGTATGTTTTTTAAAAACACATATCTTGAAAATGTATATGTATGTCAACAGCAGGCAAGAAGACTTTCATAAAGATGCTTATCTTGAAAATGTATATGTATGTCAACAGCAGCTAATGTATGTTTTGTAAAAACACATATCTTGAAAATGTATATGTATATCAACAGTAGCTATTGTATGTTTTGTAAAAACACATATCTTGAAAATGTATATGTATGTCAACAGCAGGTAATATAAGTTTAATAAAGAAGCATATCTTGAAAATGCGTATGTCAACAGCAGGCAATGTAAGTTTTATGATGATGTACATGTATATCCATAACAGCATGAATGTTAAGGATATTAGTTTAAACTCACAGATGGTTCATTAGAATAACAGAATAACAAGATTCATAAATTGATTTTTTTAAAAATGCTATGTCTCTTCAGGATACAGGTGATAATGCCTTTCTTTTCATTATTATTAGTGAATTGTCATACTTTCTTCGGAAAGATAGTGGAATCGTATCCCACTGCCTCTGTCACAGTTTTCAATTCAGAGCAGTAGTCCTCTAAGAGTGGTTGCCACCCAATCCTAGAGAGCCTCGTCTATCCTGCTATTTAAACCATATCTGGGGAGAGAATAGATGGACTCATGTAAAAAAGGATATTAGTGCAAAGTGAATGCAACAGACTTGACTAAAATTTGAACCTGGTCCTATAATTCTCTTTTCTGTGTGTTAATAATCGTTAAACTATTTGCAGCAACTCTGACAATACGTTAGTGTTGATAGATATCTCTTTTCACTCTCCCATGAGTTACAAACCTCCTCTTAACAGAATGTCGTTTTGTTAGCAACATGTGCTTCTTTGAATACTATGACGACTACTACTACTACTACTACTACTAATAATAATAATAATGTTTGTGAAAATAAATAAATACAATGATTTTGAGATAGAAATCCGTAGAATGTGACATCTGAAGACAACAATATTACCTGTCGTTATTGGGGCTCTGGGAATGATATCAAAACAAGCCAACAAATATATAGATCAAATTGCTGGCATCCCTAAAATATGAAAACTGCAAGAAATCATACTCGTGGGTCCTTCTCACACCAGTGAGCAGGATTACATATTTTTTTTCTCCCTGATTGCATGACACCTTATCTCTTTTGCATCTTCTAATACAAAACACCTGTTGTCTCTTGGGTGACTCTTGGGAGAAACTCATTCTACACAAAGCAAAGGCAAAATTCAATAATAATAATAATAATAATGAGAATAAAATGAAGACTGTATGAAAACAGAATGAAGTGATTAAAACTTGAAAAAATAAGATAGAAGTAAACGAATGCTACTCATACTACTACTAAGATTAACAAATACATATAAATACTACTACTGCTACTACTAATAATAATGACAAGTACCAGAAAAATACAACTACTATTACTACTACTACTAAGATTAACAAATACCATAAAATACTACTACTAATAATAATGACAAATACCATAAAATGCTGCTACTACAAATAATGACAAATACCAGAAAATACTACTACTACTAGGATTGACAAATACAATAAAAATGCTATTACTAATAATAATGACAAATACCATAAAAATGCTACTACTATTAATAATAATAATAATAATAATGACAAATACCATAAACATTCTACTACTACAAATAATAACAAATACCACAAAAATACAACTACTATTACTACTAGTTCTAAGATTGACAAATACCATAAAAATGCTACTACTAATAATAATGACAAATACCATAAAAATCTGCTACTACTACTAATATTAATAACGACAAATACCATAAAATTCTACTACAAATAATAATGACAAATACCAGAAAAATACTACTACTACTAAGATTGACAAATACCAGAATAATGCTACTACCACTAATAATGACAAATACCATAAAAATTCCACGACTACAAATAATGATGACAAATACCAGAAAATACTACTAAGATTGACAAATACCATAAAAATGTTACTACTAATAATGACAAATACCATAAAAATGCTGCTACTACAAATAATAATAATGACAAATACCATAAAATTACGACTACTAATAAGATTGAAAAAATACTAAAAAATACAACTGCCTACTACAAATAAATAATATTAAAATATACCAAAAAATACTACTACTAATAATAGTGAAAAATATCCTGAAAAATACTACTAATAATACTACTAAGAAAAAGAAGAAGATAGAAAGAGCATTTAGAGAATATCAGAATTGAGACCTCAAGAATCTAGAGCTCCAGAAAACTGCCATTATCAAATATTGTAAAAAGTTCTTGAGTAATCAAGGAATCTTGTCAATTAAGAAAGAACAGAATTTCCACTTACAACGTCAATGTGCAGTGATAATAATTTCTGCCTGAATTTCTGGGTTGATGAGTTACCATTATTTACATGTGGACTATTATTCGCATTTTTATCACAATGTTTCAACCAGTGGGCCCTCCGGCCTTCATCAGGTATATGTCAATCCAGGTAACTGAACCATAGCTTCCTAGATTAAATAAAGACCTAAGGTTGATATCCGAGCATGTAAAGCCTATGGATCTTGGTGAAGACCTTGTGAACTGGAGCTACAGAATCACAAACAAAGAACTATAACAAATAACAGAAACCATATCCCTTGAAGACTCCCAACAGCAGCAAAAACTAAAATGGACGTCGCATGTAACTTGAAGAGAAAATAATGACATAATCAAAATGCTGGTATTCCACACTAAATATATATTCAATTAAAAGGTTAGGAAGGAAATCTCCATCAATACTGGAAAGAGCAATAATATCTACTGGGCTTAAGAAACATATTTTCCTGAAAAACTGTTTTTTAAGAGACAGATTTTATAAATTTTAACCAACAGTAATACAAGCGGCTTAGTCAATGAAGGTTGAATGCCTCCTTATAAGGAAACAGTTAATATTACCATTACAAGATTGAAATACACCTGATGAAGGCCGAGAGCACAATGACTGAAACGTTGTGATAACAACAACAAAGATGAGGATAATAGTCCAAATGTAAATAATACAAAGGATAATAATAAATTAATCACTTTCCAAGAGATCCCGGCTTCATTTTATGGTGCAATGGAAATGTAATCGTTTCAAGATTCAAGACTGCAGTTAGCTTTGAAATAAATATGCCAATCCTATGACGAGGTCACAAAATTTAGCAGCTTCAATGAAGCATTAAGTGAAACCTCTTGAATAATGAGAAAATACATTTGTCTTCCTTTGTTTTTATTTTAAAAAAATTGGCAAAGGAATAGCTTTTTACTGAAAAAAAAAGATTACTTAAAAAGACTTTATTTAGATATTTTTTTCAATCATCTTACTCCTAGAAAGGCAATAAAGCCACAAAGATGCAAGGGGTTACTGAGTGTAAAATAACACGAGAAAGACAAAAACATTATTTAGGAGAGAGAAAAATAAAAGGACAGGAATTAAGAAGACAGCATATGACGATTGACATTGCATTTAAATTTCTGAAGATTGAAGTTGACTGGAAACCAAGAAGCCTTGTCATGAACATTCACCTTAACCCATTAACTTTTTTTAATGTGCATTCTTGGCCCAGACAGTTGTCTTAGGAGTTAAAACAACATACAATATTAAAATTTTCTTTGAATAACTGGTACTTTGAAACTTTATAGAAACTAGAACATCAAATATATATTAAATATAGAACAAAAAAAAAATAATATTGATTAGAAATAATAAAAAATACTTTTGAAAAATAGACATTATTTTTCTACTCGTGAAATGTAAAATTACGACAGAAAGTGTTTTCTTACGGCTAATATTAAAAACTTTAAAGGCGAAAGTGTTAAAAATATACCTCTGCAAATGCAATGTATGTAAGCAATTCAATGTAAATACAAGGAATAACATGTAGTGAGTTTAATTTTAACAGATCCCAAATGGGGCTCATATAGGTCATGGGTCAAATGCATTTGAGAAATTTAAAGAACATAACTTTCTTCCAAATGAAAAATGGATTCAAATTGTAGTCTCATTATGGAAATTTTATATTATGTCAGGAAATTTTTTTTAATTCTATTTTTTGACAATAGAGAACTTTGCCAATTTTAATGGGTTTCTAAATCATTAGCATGGCACAATGTCATTTCTTTTTTAGCCATTTCACCTCAAGCAAGGCAATAAAGTCACAAGAGGTTTCAGAGTTTGAAATAATGAGAGAAAGAAAAACATTATTAAGGAGAGAAAAAAATAAAAGAAAAAAATTAAGAAGACAGAAGATTGCATTTTTTTTTAAAAGATCAATTTTTGATTGGAAAGTAAGAAGC